ACTTATTCATCCTTCAAACCTCACTTCCTCCAGGAAGTCTTCCCTGATGCACCGTCTCTCCCCTAGTCTCCTGTATTCTCAAAGCACTGCTGCCATCACAGCATTACTGCATTGTACAACAACTACCTGATTGTCTGCATCCCTCCCTAGACAAGCATGAGAGCCGGGCTCCATCCTGCAACGCTCCCCACTGGGTCATATCCTGTGGTTGGCAACTGTTTACCATCTGGGATCCTAGATCCAATAAAGAGGTTCCTGACTTTCTTTGAGACTCACCACCATCCGTGCACTCGTCACAGCTCTAACGACCTCATCCCACAGAACTGGAAGCCTCTGGCTTTGGGCCGAATCCAAGATGCTACCCTTTCCCTCTGGTTGTGTTTGCAGATAACACTTGACATGCTGTGGAGGACCAGGTAGTGGAACTCTCTGCAGAGATGTGGTTCCAGAAGTGCAGTGTTAACAGACTCTTGCCTTGCCCCAGCCTCAGCCCCAGCCCCAGCCCCTGCTGGCCAATAAAGCCAGAGAACCTGGCTGGAGCAGGGCATGGGGACCTGCTGTCTTGATGGAGGGGACCCCGTTGCACCTGCTCCCCTGTTCTTAGAGCCGCAAAACAATGGGCTGGAGAGGGAATCTATTCTGTTCTCTCTATCCTCACCTGCTGCTACCCTAGGTGCGAACCTGTGTTTGCTAGTGCTGTTGTGCCAGAAATACCACAAGTGGGTGGTATTTCTTTTGTCACAGTTTAGGAGCCCTCGTGGTGCAGTGGTTAAGCACTGGGCTGCTAACCAAAAGCTTAGCAATTTGAACCCACCAGTCGCTTCGCGGGAGGAAGATGTGGTAGTCTACTCCCGTAAATATTACAGCCTAAGAAACCCTATGGGGCTGTACTACTCTGTCCTATAGGGTCGCTATGAGTCAGAATTGATTCGGCGGCAATGGGTGAGGAGGCTAGAAGTATGAATTCAGAGTGTGGCTCTATGGGGAGGTCCTTCTTTGTCTATTTCAACTTCCAGTAGTCAGCAACCCTTAGAGTTCCTGGGCTGGTCGATTCATCTGCCTCTGCTGTCATCAGATAGTGTCTATCTTCCCCTATTTGTGCTTGCTTGTCTCTGTGTCTAGGCTGCTCCTTATATCACTCAGAAATGATTAGGTTTAGGACACACCCTATACTGATTTAGCCTCATTAACATAACAAAGAAAACCCTATTCCCAACTGGGATCACATCCACAGTGGTCATGACTCCAACCCGTATTTTGGGGAGACACAACTCAATCCATAACAGAGCTCAACCATCACCTTTTGCCTAGGATGTGGGGATAGCCCCCCAAGTGGTCCTCTGCCTCCAGTCTTGTCCCTTTCATTCTATTCTCTACACTGAGTAATTTTTCTCAAACGTAAATCTGACTCTGATCAAAACCCTTCGGTGGCTCCTTACTACCAACAGGACAATATCTAAACTCCTAAGCACAGCCAAGGCTTTTCAAGATCTGCCTCCCCACTGGCTCCACTCCTTGTCCCTCTCCCCACCTGCCCTGTGCTCTAGAACACAAACTACACACGTTCTCTTTTAACTCCTTGCTTTCTCATCTGCTCTTCCCTTACCTGTTGATTCATTCTTCTCTCTTATCTGCTAAAATCATTCATTCATGCAGTTAAGTATTTATTGGGTGCTTACTATGTGCTTAGTTTTATTCTAAGGGATGAGGACCCAGAGGTGAACAATACAGGCAAAGTCTCTAATATAGCAGTTTTATATTCTGGTCTTATATTTGGGGAAAAAAAGTAGGAAACAAATACATGAACCAAATAATTGCAGAAAGCTGCATATACTGTGATGAAAATAAAATAGGGCATATCACAGAGAGTGACTTGATGTGTTACATTAGGTTGGGGGAGGTAAGGGAAAATTTCTATGATGAGGCCACCTCTGAGACGTTTAAACACCCAGGGGCAAGGTGTTCCAGACAGTGGGAGCAGCAAGTGCAAAGGCCCTGAGGTGAGAATGAGCCTGGAATGCTCAAGAAAGAGAAAGGAGGCCAGCGTGGCTCAGGAGAAGCGGCCAGGGAAGAGTGGTTGGGACGATGGCTGTGTTTGTGTGCTTAGAAAGGCTGGTTTCTCGTTTATGGTGCTGTGACAGGACAGGCTTTCCTCCTAGTGTCTCTAGCAGTTTTATGGGTCAAGCCACTCATGTGTAGGGACAGGGCCAGCCTCTAATTTCAGCCCTAGTACCCCGCATGGTGTGTGGCAGATGGCTAGCATTCCTGCATGCTTAATACCAGTACCAGTTGCCCTCACGTCCATCCCAATTCATGGCGACCCTGTGTGTGTCACTGTAGAACTGTGCTCCATAGGGTTTTCAACTGCTGGTTTTGTGGAAGCAGATCACCAGGCATTTCTTCCGAAGCGCCTCTGGGTGGACTCAAACCTCCAACCTTTTGGTTAGCAGCTGAGTGCATTAATTGTTTGTACCAGTCAGGGACTCCCATGAATGCTTACTGAGCAAATAAATGCAGCCTCAGATTCTGAGACAGACCCCCAATGACTTCTTCACCCTGATCCCCCACCAAGGGAGGCAACGGTAGGAGAAGCCAGTGAGACATTTATGAAGGGAGTTTCACCGTGCATGACACTCGGCACATCATGGGAATGCACTGATATGGATGATCAACTGATGCCTTTATCCTGCAAAGCTTTTTATTTGAGCCTCTTGCACAGAGAGGGAAAAAAAAAAAAAAAAAAAGAGAGAGCAAGAGAACAGTTTTCATTTAGCGTTTGGAAAAAAAGTGCCGGATGGGCACTCAAATATTGAAGATGATGACAAATACTGATCTGAGCAGAGAGAACTAAAGGAAAAACTCAAAGAACACAGTGTTTGTCGAAGCCTCTAAGTGCTTCCCAGAATCGAGAAGATTTCAAGTGCTTAATGGCTTTCTTTCCTCTGCTGCCAGCTGTAAAGGGTAGATGCGGTGAAAGGCACCTGGGGTGATGCGGAGAAGGGCTGGAGCGACTGGGGGCTCTTCTGTGACCTAAGCCAAGCAACAGAGAGGAGGGATGATGTTTTCACCAGAGAGTCATCCTTGTAAGTGGTCAGGTGTGAGTGATACCTCCGAGCTTTCCACAGATGCTCTCCTCTGCCATTTGGAGCCCAAAGGAATTCTCATGGCATCCAAAAATCACAATAAAAACAGTAACAATAATAGTAATAAAACAAAATTCTGACTCCTTCACCCGGTTTACAAATGCTTTCCAGCTCTAGACCCTGCCTACCTGTTGCTCATCTGCTGTCCCCTCCTTCCCCAGTAGCCCCCAAGCCATCCTTCTGTTCCTCACAATGGAGCCTGTCCCTGCCTCAGGGCCTTTGCACCAGCTACTTCCTGTACCTGGAATGCACTTCCCTTGCTCTTCTACAGTTGGGTCTTTCATTTTTTTTTAATAGCGGTGAAAACAGACACACCAAAACACTCTCCCAATACAACAACCTCCACATTCACAATTCAATGACACTGATTACATTCCTCATGCTGAGGGCTGGCTCTTTTTTGTCATTCAGGTCTCAGCTTAAAGGCCACCTCCTCGGAGAAGCCCTCCCTGATTCCCCAACGGAGCTGCCCAGCTACTCATGAATACATCACTATGTAGCCCTTGCCATTGGCTGCTAATTTTTCTTGATAGTTGTTGTCAGGGGCCGTCAAGTCAGTTCCAACTCACAGTGACCCTATGTACAACAGAACAAAACACTGCCCGGTCCTCTCACAAGGTGCAAAGTGTTTTACATGCAATTTCTCACTTAGTCTCAAAATGTTCCTGTAAAATAAATCATTTTGACAGTTGAGGATACTGAAGTGCAGAGAGGTTGAGGAACTTGCCCAGGGTCACACAGGTAGTAATTGGATGAGATTAAAGCCAAATCCTATGAGTTGGAATCCACTTGATGGCAACGGTTTAAAGCCAAACCCAGGTCGGCTGACTCCATATGCCCTGTTTTCCCCATGACAGCGTGCTACTTCCCAACATCCTGCTCCCCAGAGTCTGAAATCAGTGTCTTGCTTGCTGTGTGACTGTGGGTAACCTGCTTAACCATTCTGTGCCTCAATTTCTTCAACTCTAAATGGCGGAAATAAAAGAGGATTTCTACGAGCATCAGGGGCAGTGGTGGTTCAGAGACAGAATCTTCAAGTTCCCATGTGGGAAACCTGGGTTTGATTCCCGGCCAGTGCACCTCAAGCAAAGTCACCACCCATCTGTCAGTGGAGGTTTGCGTGTTGCTATGGTGCTGAACAGGTTTCAACAGAGCTTCCAGACTAAGACAGACTAAGAAGAAAGGCCTGGGGATCTACTTCCCAAAAATCAGCCAATGAAAACCCTATGATCACAACGGTCCCATCCAACTGTGCTTGGGGTCACCATGAATCAGGAGCCGACTTGATAGCAATTAACAATAACAATGAGCACCAGCTGAGATACAACATATGAAAAAAATTATAAACAATGAAGAAACAAGAAAATCTAGTAATGTTAGCTATGCCTGTGACCATATATCCAACAAATTTTGTCAACCATGCTAAGCCCTAAAGGAACAAGTTATGCATGAAATTCTCTTTTTGTGCCACCCCATGCACTGACCAACTTAATCACGGGTATCCCGTGTGGGAGCCCTGTCTCAGAACGACCTCAGAGTTTCCTGGCCACGGAGAGACAATGTATCTGTTGTTTCACTGGTGATCTGGCTCCTCTTCCCTCTGCTTGGAAATTCTCATATAAGACACACTTCTGACCTCACCTAGCCTGGATCAGACTTCCCTCCTCCATCCATAGCCTTCAGCACTGAAGTGGTCTGCTGCTGTGCCTGTCTCCCCAACCAGCGACCTCCCAGGGCAGGGACAGCCTGTTCATCGAGGTCATGCCCTGAGCTGGCACCGAGCCTGTCAGGCGGGAGGTACTCAGCAGACTTGCAGAGAAGGCCACCCCGCCCCGCTGAGCCTGGCTGAGCACTTACGTTTTCACTGTTGACATCCGCTTCACTGGGGCAGCCAAACAGTTCCCGCCTCAGCAGGTTCCCGTCATACTCCAGGAAGGTCAGGTAGAGGTTGCGGAAAAACTCAACGTGCTTGTTCTTCACCCGAAGCTTCTTGGGGGAGTTCCAGTGAATGACCTGGAGGGGCGACAAAGAGCCAGTCAGGCAGGGGGGACCCAGCACAGGTAGGAAGCCTTGGGCTTGGCACTGGGCTAAACATTCTTTGTGTGTTTGCTGATTCATTAGTTCACTCATCCATTCGTTCAACATTTATGGCAGAAAGGTTAAGAGCTCTGAGGCCAGTGCAGAACTCAAATTCTAATAAAAAGACCAGACTTGATGGTCTGACTGAGACTCGAGGATCCCCAGAAAGCATGGCCCCCGGACTCTCTGTCAACTCAGAACTAAAACCATTCCCGAGGCCAACTCTTCAGACAGAGATTAGCCTGGACTATGGGACATAAAATGATACTCGTGAAAAGAGTGTTTCTTAGCTCAAGTAGATACTTGAGACTAAATGGGCAGCTCCTGTCCGGAGGTGAGATGAGAAGGCAGAGAGGGTCAGGAGCTGGTTGAATGGAAACAGGAAATCAGGGGTGGAAAGGAGGAGTGTGCTGTCACAGTATAGAGCGAGCAATTAGGGTCACGTAACAATGTACATACAAATTTTTGTATGAGAGACTAACTTGAATTGTAAAGTTTCACTTAAAGTACAATTAAAAAAAAAAAAAAAGAACTCTGAGGCCAGACTTCTTCTTGGTGGGTGTCATTCAGTTGATTTTGACTTATGACGACAGCGTGTTTCAGAGCAGAACTGCACCATTGGGTTTTCTTGCCTGTAATCTTTACAGAAGCAGACTGGCAGGTCTTCTGCCTGGGTTCCAATCCTGGCTCTGCTCTAGGTGGCTGTTTAGCCTTGGGCAAGTTACTTCATCTCTGTGTGCCTCAGTTTCCTCATCTGTGAAACGGGAACGGTAACAGCTCTGCCTGTTCCCGTTGTTAAGCTATCATCTCTCACCTCCAAACTTGCTTTGTGATGCCAAGGCTGGGACTCTGCAAACCCCATTTCTGCTTTGCCAGCTGCTACCTGTTAGGTGCTGGCGACAGGGGGCATGAGAAGGAGACTGGGAGGCTGACCTTGCCCCTTCCTGTCTGCTTTCTGGTCCTGAGAGCACAACCCCAGCCTCCCTTCCTCCATTTGCGGCAGCACTTCCTTCCTTTAGTAGCAACTACATCCAGTTTAGGACCCTAGGTGGTGCAAATGGTTTGCTCTCAGCTATTAACTGAAAGGCTGGCAATCCACCCAGCAACACCGTGGAAGAAAGCCTTGACAATCTGCTTCTGTAAGATTATAGCCACTGAAAACCCTATGGAGAGGGTTTTCAATGAAACCCATGGGGTCGCCATGAGTCCGAATCGACTCAACGGCAATGGGGCAACGGGCAAATCCAGTCTGCAATTTTTTCAACATTCACAAAGTGAGCTTCACTGCCCTCTCCTCACCCTCTTTTCCCAGTGCTGGTTCTGCTGGAGTTGGCTGGTGCCCCCACCCCAGGGCTATGAGTCCCAGTCCCAAGTTTTGGTAATTCCCACCTCTTCCCTTGTTCCTCCAGCTCTACAGGTGATGCTGATACTTCTTGTAATTCTCTCTTTTTGCTTTTTTAGTTACCAAGTTAACACGTTATGCCTAATTACCATTTTTTAAATATTAAATTCTCTGTTCAAATAATTTGTATGGTTTCTGCCCCTAGCCGAGACCCTGTCTCACAGAACTGTTAGGAAAAATAAATGAGTTAATACACGTTAAGCATGTAAGCAGTGCTTGGCACAGGGTAAGTGCTCAGTAAATGCAGGCTCTTGCTATGTAGTGTCTACAGTGTACTGGGTTGGGAAATGGCCAGAGACATGCTCACAATCTGCTGGGCAGATGTGTCCACACACAGGTAATCAGACTGTTACAATGCAGGAAGGACTGACAAGAAATGATGGCTCTCGAGGCCTCAGGGAAGCATCACAGAAGGAGGTGCCTGTGCTGGGCTTGAAGGATGAGCAGGCGTTTCCTGGGGAGACAGAGCCTGGGATGAGGGGATGGCAGGGACATAATCCAGGCAGAGGGAAAACGCTTGGGCAGTGTGGTTCATTTGGCAAATAAGAAGCTGTGCATTGTAGCTGGAGCACAGGATGCATAGGTGGGTCGGTAGGAGACGTGGTTGGAAAGGTAAGCAGAGGTGACATCTTGGACCCTTGAGGACCATGTTCAGAACACAGATATTGTCTTAAAGCCAGTGCGCACACAAGAGACTTTTAAGGAGGTGGAAAATTAACCTCTGGGATTTAAAAAGATTACTCTGATTCTAATGGATAAAATGCAGGGGAGGGTTTATAGGGACAAACAGGAGCCAGGGACACCAGTTATGAGTCCACTGTAATTTCCAGCTGAGAGATGAGGCCTTGGGGACAAAGTTTCTGATTCGGTTGCGAAGGCAAGCTATAGGTATCCAAAAAAATGTGAAGAAAATACGCTAATATTTATGAAGTATTTAATATATGTTAAAATATGTTCTAAGCACTATTTATTAATATTATTTAATAATATTCATCATTGGTATCCATAACTATTTATTATGATAAAAATAACTATTAGTAATAAAAACTTAGTGTTAATCTATTTGGAGTCGCTGGGTGATACAAACAGTTAATGTGCTTGGCTGCTAACAAAAGGTTGGAGGTTCAAGTCCACCCAGAGGCAGCTTGAAAGAAAGGCATGGCAATCTACTTTTGGAAAAAATCAGCCAGTGAAGACCCTATTGAGCAAAGTTCTACTGTCACACACATGCGTTGCCATGAGTCGGAGTCTACGGGAGACTCTCAACCAGTCCATGGGCACAGCACTATCATCAACCCCTTTTTACAGATGGAGAGGCACAGAAAAAGTATACAATTTGCCTGAAGTCATATATGTTGGAGGTTGCAGAATCAAGCTTCGAACCTGGCAGCCTGGCTCCAGCCTGCCTGCTCAGCCACTACATTCACACCGTCTCTGAGATCAGTGTGCAGTCACCCATGCAGACAAGAAGTGTTATAGATGTTTATTTCACTAAGGACAGAGATGACTGATGGATGGACCAGTGAGATGGGCTTCTCCCAGCTGTGGTCCAGGAGCTGGGTCCTGAATGATGGCATGGATGCAGAGGGTCTAGGGGAGAGGGAAAGTGGTCCAGGTGAGGGAAATCACACAATATCAAGAAGAACAGAGCTGCGGGAGCATCACAAGAGGGGCCACCAGGTAATAGTGGCTCCAGTCCACCTAAGGTCACATTTACCGTGCTCCCCAGCAGGCACCAGTGAAAACGGGAGCCTTGCCCACAGGGGCTCTCAGTGGGATACATGCAACGGGAAAGAGAAGCCAGAGCCTGCTGGCTGGCTGTGCAGCAGGGCTGTGGGCATCGCTCACCCTCCCATCTCCTTGGCTGGGGAGCTCTCTCCTTGGGCCTCTCTATGGCTTGAACACTTACCCCCAAATTTTGTATTCATTGGCGTCTTTGAATCCTCACAATGTTCCTAACAAGGAATGCAACTTTAAAGGCAAAGAAACTGTGGAGAAGTAACTTGCCTAAGGCTACATAGTTAGTAAATGTTGGAGCTGGGATTCAAACAGAAGTTTGCCTGATTCCAAAGCCGGGGTTCTTTCCTCTACACCGTGGAGAACAGAAGCAGCCAGGTTTTTAAAAATTCCTTTCTCATGCTTTACTTTGTGAGATTATAGAGGAAACAGAATAGCTCCCACCGTCCCCTCTACAGCTCCATCTGCCCCATTCTGTCCTCCCTGAGGGGAGGACAGGCTTATCTGACAGTAGCTCAGTCACTTCCCAGCTCCTTCCTTCAGCTCCGTTCTGCCTGCAAAGCCTGCAGCAGGGTCCCAGGTCTGCCACAGAGAGAGAGGTCTAGGAGACCCATCTCCCCCTGCCCCCTCTCTTGGGGTTCTGTGGATGTATGTGTGGCCATGATTCCCCTTGAAGCCGGCTGGGTAAATCCCACTCCACAAGACTGAATAATAGGAGGTCTATTTGGTCAAAACCACTTTCTCCTGACTCCTGACTCTAATCAGTGTTGTTGTTGTTAGGTGCTGTCGAGTCGGTTCTGACTCACAGTGACCCTATGTACAATGGAAGGAAACATTGCACAGTCCTGCACCATCCTCACAATCGTTATGCTTGAGCCCATTGTTGCAGCCGCTGTGTCAATCCATCTTGTTGAAGGTCTTCCTCTTTTTTGCTGACCCTTCACTTTACCAAGCATGATGTCCTTCTCCAGGGACTGATCCTTCCTGATAACATGTCCAAACTATGTGAGACGTTGTCTCACCGTCTTTGCTTCTAAGGAGCATTCTGGTTGTACTTCTTCCAAGACAGATTTGTTCATTCTTTTGGCAGCCCATGGTATATTCACTATTCTTTGCTAACACCACAATCCAAAGGCATCAATTCTTCTTCAGTCTTCCTTATTCATTGTCCAGCTTTCACATGCCTATAATCAGTAATGGTGTAATAACCAGAGCAAGAAGCATGGAAGTCAAACCAGGCTAAGTCTGAATCCTACCCATGCTATTTACCAGCTGTGTGTCTTTGGGCAACTCATTTATTTCACTGCTTGGGGCCTCAGTTTCCTCAGTGCAAGGTGGGGATCAGTAACCTTGACTTTACAAAGACACCAAGAGGGTGAAATAAACACCTAGCACAGTGCTTGCATGTCAGGGTGGCTCCACAAATGTGGGGCAACCAGACTGCACAACTATTGCTCCGTCTTCCCTTCTCCCTCCTAGCAGCCTGAAGTCTACTGCAGCGATAAGTAAGGAATCAGGCACTTAGCATTCAGGAGGGTGCAGAAAGGACCAGCAGAACCTCCTGGAATGAGAACACCCGATGGAGCTCGTATTTCAAGTAAGGATGAGTGTGCAGCATGCGGTTTTATTCCTCAACTTTTTGAAGGGTGGGAGAGGGAAGATTCTCCCCTGAGAATACATCCAGCCGGGGCATGGAGAAGGTCCTGGGCCATCCATTAAAATAATTGCATGCGAGCTGGATGTCACTCATACCCAGTGGGTATCATGTCTTCACTGCAAAAGATGCTGGTGCCTG